ACACCAAAGACTGTGGGCCACTTCTACACTGTTTGTAGGAGAAATGATGGAGCGTGGGAAACATTCAACGACATGCAAAATAAAGTGACGGTAGCAAGAACCAGCGTGTCGCACAATTTTAGTGCACTCATATATACGATATAAATTTAAATATTTTTTTTTTTATTATTTTGTTAATAGATCATTACAGATCAATACAGTATTTGAAAAGTTACAATAAAGAAAGGTAAAAAAAAATGTATGTTAATTTTCATTTGTCTACCATTAATATTAAAATATTATACAATAATAAATAATTTAATTCAAATTTCACACATCTATTACAGCTAATAGGTAACCTACCACTTATCACTACACAGTTTAGTGTTGATGATTAATATAATATAATAATCATACGTGGTTAAATTAATAAAATAATAATACAATTATTAAAAATGATAATAATGAGCAAAATAAATAAATTTTAATTTGTATAAAAAACATTCATAATAAAAATGAAAATATTAGAAAAAAGGGATTTTCCTTCATGTTTCTTGAAAAAAAGGTAGTTATGCGCATATTTGATGATAAACAAAACACAAACACTTCAATTTAACTTAAAACTATGGTTTCAACGTCGAAGAAAAACTTGTGTGAAAATTGGTGAGTATCTATGTAAAGAAAATGCACTCCTTGATTATTATTTGTTATCATAATATAAGATTATGCTGTCTGCTGTTATCAACCACACTGTGTGTAATGATTACAACAGGTTGATATCAGTCAAGATGGGTTAACATAAAAACTAATATAATAATATTATACTTAATATAAAACTTTATAATTATTAAAACCTTTAAGTATAGACTTTAAATTGTCGTTTATTTAATTACAGGTAAGAGATTTGTATATATATATAAATAAATAATCATGTTATTCATATTAATAAAATAAGATATTTACTTACATATAAACACAACTTTCTTTCAGGAATAATTAAGGAAGGGATGACTTACAAATTCTAAATTCATGCTTACAAATACTTACAAATTGCCCTTGACGATTTGGCACAGTCAAAGTTCGAAAAGCTCGACAAAGCACGGCCAACTTTCTTTCAGGAATAATTAAGGAAGGGATGACTTACAAATTCTAAATTCATGCTTACAAATACTTACAAATTGCCCTTGACGATTTGGCACAGTCAAAGTTCGAAAAGCTCGACAAAGCACGGCCAACTTTCTTTCAGGAATAATTAAGGAAGGGATGACTTACAAATTCTAAATTCAGGCTTACAAATACTTACAAATTGCCCTTGACGATTTGGCACAGTCAAAGTTCAAAAAGCTCGACAAAGCACGGCCAACTTGCTTTCAGGAATAATTAAGGAAGGGATAACTTACAAATTCTAAATTCAGGCTTACAAATACTTACAAATTGCCCTTGACGATTTGGCACAGTCAAAGTTTGAAAAGCTCGACAAAGCACGGCCAACTTTCTTTCAGGGATAATTAAGGAAGGGATGACTTACAAATTCTAAATTCAGGCTTACAAATACTTACAAATTGCCCTTGACGATTTGGCACAGTCAAAGTTTGAAAAGCTCGACAAAGCACGGCCAACTTTCTTTCAGGGATAATTAAGGAAGGGATGACTTACAAATTCTAAATTCAGGCTTACAAATACTTACAAATTGCCCTTGACGATTTGGAGTAGTCAAAAGCTTTGAAATGTCGAAACGGCCAAGTTTCGCGAAAGTTAGCCGTGATTTAAACTTTTGAGGATAATTGAAAACGGCTGTACTTACAAATTACCAAATTGTGCTTACAAATACTTACAAATGACTTACAAATTATTTACAAAATTTGGAGTCAAAATTTTGACATTGTACGGCTAACTTCACGGACCTCCTCTGGCAGCCTTGAACATGCAATACGGGGGCGCGATAAGCCTTCTTATTTGTAAGGACCACACCCTCAGATTTTTCTGGGGCGAGGCTGAGACCATTGGCGGTCATCCACTCGAAAATATCAACTAAAGTGGGGTTGACAAGTTGCTCGATCAGCTCAGCGTTCTGAGCTACCGCCACCACAGCCACATCATCAGCAAAAGCCACCAGCCTAACGCCCTTACGAACTGGCAGCCGCAGTACCGCATCATAGAATAAGTTCCACAGAGTCGGACCAAGGACCGATCCCTGTGGAACGCCGCATGTAACAGGTATCGTCATGTCCTCACTGATTGTGAGGTTCCTATTCTCCATGTACGACCTCAGGACTTTCACCAGGTAATGCGGGACAGATGATCTCTGCAACGCCTCATCAATGAGCCTCCAGGGCGCCGAATTGAAGGCGTTTCTGACGTCCAAGGAGACAAGAACGCACAAATCCCTGTTCCGAACTGGACCGCGTTTGGCTGACTCAGCTGCATTGAGGGCATCTTCGATGGCACACATGGTAGACTTGAACCTCCTGAACCCATACTGAGAGTCGCTGAGGGCACCTACCCTAACGATGTGAGTCTCTAGCCTGCTGAGCAGAACGCGCTCAAATACTTTGCCAGCTCCATCTAGCAAGCTAATCGGTCTGTAACTCGAGGGGAGATCACGCGCTTTGCCCTGGCCCTTGTACAAGAGCACCAGCTTAGCGCGTTTCCACCTTAGTGGGAAGACCCCAATAAAGAGACACGCGTTGTAACAAGTTATAAACTGCTCCGGAAACTTGCTATAGGCCACTCTAATGGCTTCGTTCGGGACTTGATCTGGACCCGGCGCCTTGCCTGACGGTAGCCTGGCGACGGCGGTGCTTATTTCCTGAGCAGTAATGGGCGGTGCCAGATGGCCGTTATCGAGCCTCAGGGGTAAATCCAGTATTACAGTCGGCTGCTGGGAAACAATTGGAATCCGAGCCCAGTCGGTGTGGGGAGACAACGGGAACAATCCCTGGGCCACGCTGACTACCAAGTCATGACTCAAGTCCGGGGCACGGCTGCCGAGTCTTTTTGATACCAATTTGTATGGGACGCCCCATGGATTGTTTTCAACAGACAGACACAGCTGGCGCCAGCAATCCACCTGTGACTTCTTTATTGCGTGTTTTAGATACAGTCTCGCTCTTTGATATGTCGCGCGCTCCTGTTCTCGAGGAGACGTAGACGATCGGCGACCGGCCCGCTAATAAGTCCTGCGGGCAGCAGTGGCGACCTTACGAAGCTCCGCTATTTCGTTATTCCACCAGTACGCCGAACGCTTCCCCGTAAATACAGCCCTCCGTGGCATTGCAGCATCGCACGACTTCGTTAAAAATTCACAAAGACGGTCAGCGTGGGTCTCTGCTGACGCGTTTACCGGAAGCGCGAGAGGAGCGCCTACCAGGTCCCAGTATATGTTCATCAGAGCAGGATTGAGCTTCTTCACTGACCAACCAGGAATCAGAGTTCCAGAATGACTAGAAGGACCATCAGCAATCAGCCTGGGTTGCGCAGACACGGTGAACGCGATGTATGAATGATCGCTGGCTGAGTATGCGTCTTCCAGGACTGTCCAATTTGTAATCAGTGGGTGATTACCAGGTAGGTGCCTTGTCCAGGTGACGTCGATTACCGAAGCTGCATTTACCCGTGCATATGTCGGAGACGAGCCTCTATTGCAGATGGTCTTGTTTAGGGATGAAGCCATGTCGTAGAGCAGTGAACCCCTCGCGTCATCAGTTGCCGATCCCCAACTGGCGGAGTGGGCATTGAAATCGCCAGCCACGATGAGATTTACCTGACCGTTTGCTTGTAATCGTATAGACGTCTCCAGGCCATCCAAAAAATGAGTCGAATTCGCCAATAGTACAGTTAGGACTGCAGTAGCAACTGTAGTAAATATTATTGTTCACCCTCAACCAAGCAAAGCCAATGCCAGCACCGCGGTCTATGACAAGCGGGCGTGGGTTACCAGTTACGTAAATTGCGGACTTGCCATCGACGCTATTAATCCACTGTTCATTGTCTCCCATTTTCTTGTAATAATCACTAATAACTGCAATAGCGGAGCTCAGCCATAGTCTGGAGGAGCAGCTGCTGGGCAGCCCAACAATGGTTTAAGTTTATCTGAATAACGTTAGTTCCATACGAGATGACACGTGGGGGATCGCCTGATCTTGTACCCATCATGACTGCGTGACTTTTGCCGCCTCAACCACCTTGGCAAAGGTGCTCACCGCCTGGTCGGAAGCGCTGCAACTGGCCGCCCTGTGGCCAGCTTCCCCACAGCGCCTGCAGCACGCGGACCTATCCGGACCATCACACTTACTCGATGTGCGACCGAAAGCTAAGCAATGAAAGCACCTAACTTTTGGTTCGGCCGTTCTAACTCTGCAGCTCACCATTCCAACCCGCAGTCGGCCGGTGCTGACCAACCCGCGCGATTCATCCAGCGGCAGAGATACCAGCGCCATCTGGGAGTCCCCGAACCTCTTTCTAAGGCTAACCACCTTCGTGACCTCCTGGCCAGCACCGGCGGTGCTGCACACCTCATCAAGGACTTCGCTGGAACTGGCCCACTGGTCGAGATCACGAACTTCGAGCAGAACTCTCTGTTGAAGGGTACGCACCTCGATATCCGACCCCGCAGACTTCGCCACTTCGGCGCGAACAGCTTCAACTTGTATCCGGTCGCCTCGGACCTCGATAAGTAGGCCGCCAGACTTGCCAGAATACACAGCTGAAAATATACAATCTGAAACCGATGAAGAAATAGAAATAGATAAAAGTTTTGACAATCATTATGATACCTGCATTGAAGAAAATTCCAACCATTCCGTAGCCGAGGTTGATTAACAAACAAATGATACAAATGATACAAATGATACTTCATCTAATAAATTTCAAGTTAGTAGAGCTACAAAAAATGTAAAACACAAACTCGTCAAGGACCAACGAGTATTTTTTTTATATTGCGAAGAACTTATCACCAATTTCCCTAGGCACCTTGAACGAAAACATCCATTAGAAGACGATATGTAAGAAAAATAATTATCATGCCAAAAAAATCTCTTGAGCGTTATAATTACTTAGAATTATTAAAAAACAAAGGTAACTTGCAATATAATAAAAATATTTTACAAAAAAAACAGGAATCTATAATAGTAAGACAAAGGCCATCAGTTTTACAAAAAGCTGAAGTAGATGATTTTTTACCATGTAAATACTGTTATAAATTTTGCAAAAAGAAAAAGCTTTACCGACATGTAAAAATATGCAAGTTTAAAGACATGTCTGAATTTAGTACTGGAGAACCTACAAGAAAAAGAAATAAAATCATTTTTCCAAGTGTAATGCTCTTACAAACTGAAAATGACCACAAACAATTTGTAACTGAGGTACTTGGTACTATGAGGTGTGACAATGTCACATCTGTTGCTCGAGATGATAGTCTCATTTGTTCATTTATTAGTAGATTACTCCAAAATCACCGTGAACACCACTTGAAACGTTATATTTCACAGAGAATTCGACAACTATCAAAATTTTTAATAATACTCCGCACTTTAGTTCCTGATTTAAGACACCTAAAGGACTTTTTAAAAACAAATTATTTTGTTAATATTGTTCAAGCAGCAAAGAAACTAGGTCAGTATAACGAAGACCTGAATACTTATACACATCCAAGCACTGCACTAAAAATAGGACATACCATAACACAATGTGCCAACATTTTAAAAACACAACTTATGATCAACAACCATCACAACCAACACCGAGAGACGAAATACAGGTAGTCAATGATTTTTTGCAAGTGTTCCAAACTGAATGGAAATTTTCAGTATCTTCAAATGCAAATCAAGATATTGGAACAAAACATTTAATAAATCTATAGCTTTGCCTGATGCCAAATACATTAGTATTCTGCACACATATTTGTCAAGTCAACTGGCAAAAGGAATAAATTGCATTCAAAGTGGTGAAATTAACAAGGATGTATATAAATTAGTTTGTCAAACCTTACTGACACAAATTATAATACTCAACAGACGAAGATCAGGAGAAGTGGAGCGAATAAAAATTGAATATTATCTTAACCGTGACAAAAATAAAATTCAAGAAGATATTCAAAAGGCACTAAGTTCTGTAGAAAATCAACTTTCAAAGAATCTTGTAAAATTTGAAATCAGAGGGAAACGAGATAGAGGTGTACCAGTGCTTCTAACACCTGATATGCAAAAAGCTTTTGATATTTTAATAAAAATGAGAAAGTCTTTCAATATTTTAGAATCGAACCCATACATGTTTGCCACACCATTTACAATCGAAGGATCTAATAGAGGAACTGACTGTTTGAGGGACGCTGCAACCAAGTCAGGAGCCACTTCTCCAGAACTTTTACGTTCTACAAAGTTTCGAAAGCATGTAGCAACAATGACACAACTATTATGTTTGTCAGATAATGATAGGCAACAACTGGCTACATTTATGGGACATAATTTATCCATACATGACGAGTACTACAGGTTACCCAATGAAACATTACAATTAAGCCGTGTCAGTAAAATTCTTTTAGCTGTTGATTCTGGCCGTTTTGAAGAGCTAAAAGGAAAGTCGATAGAAGAGCTAGACAGTTTCATACCTCAAATAAACACAGATTGAGATTCAAATGTAGAACTCGATGAAGGTATGAATCAATATTTTTTTTTAAGGCTAGATCTTATCATGTTTTAATTTGTAGATCATGATGAGAATGGATTAATCCAATGCAGTGATGAAGATATTCCTGAAGCTGTACCTGTAAAAAAATAAAACAAAATGACAAAACCCAATCTAAAAGAAAAAATTATAAAGTATGGACAGCTAAAGAACTTGAAGCGGTAAAAAGAAGTCTTGGAAAATTTATTTCTCTTGGTAAAGTACCACAACAACATGATTGTTTATTAGCTATGGAAAATGAGCCAATATTAGTTGATAGGGGATGGAAAAATATTAAGTTTCAAGTGGCAAACCTCATAAAAAACCAATTTAAATAATTTATGAAACGTTTTTTTTTTATTATTATTTAAAAATGTACTATTTTGTTTTTAATGCACCTAAAAGGCCTTAGGTAATTGTTTATATATGTTTTGTATTTAATATAGGTACATAAAAAGGGGTTTGCAAGTTTCATCGAAAAAAATATTTAATTACATTTTAAAACCGTTTAAAATTTTGGTTATTTTAAAATTTACTATTATGAATATAGGTACCTTAAAAGACTTAGGTCATTTTTTAAACATATTATTTTTAATACACCTAAAAAGACTTAAATAGTTTTTAATTTTTATTGTTTTTATACACGTACAAGGACTTGGGTAATTTTTGATAGATTATTTTCTGTTTTTAATTTAAAAATAAGGGCTTATACGAATTTAGGTTATCATGCCAAATCATTTGCTTATACATAATTATTAAATACTAGCTGATCCCGTGCACTACGTTTCCCGTTAAATGTATGCCAACCCTTTATGACTCAAACTCTGTTCAATTCGTTATTTAATATTCGGTGTATGGTGTTCAAAATTTATTCGTTAAAAATCGTACCTCTTCAATGAATAAAAATAACCTAACCTCCCCGTCACCTGACTCGTCCTGTCCAGTAGATTTTTAATTTTGCAATTTGTTTGTTCCTACACATGTTATATTCGACGCAAAAAATTCTCCTGAACAGAACCGTCACCCTGGTGATAGTGCGTTGTGAATAAAAAATAATTAAATAAAACATATATAATCATTTATAAGTAAGGAATTCCTTTTTTGTTAATCATTTCAATTATAATTATTAACAAAAATCAGTTATATATTCATTGTAGTGCTTTGTGGTATACGATGTTTTTTGTTTGATCACCTGGCGCATAGACAAACAAATCTGATGGTTTCCCAACACGGGAACAGGCAACATATAATTGACCATGTGAGAAACATGGGTTTTCCAAATTAATACCACAAACACTTAATGATTGCCCCTGGGACTTGTTTATGGTCATAGCAAAAGCAAGCCGCACTGGAAACTGTAGGCGTTTAAACTCAAATGGCACATCAGTCGGAATCATTGGGATGCACGGTATGAGAACATCCTCTACTTTAAACTTTCCTTTCAGTATAGTTGCTTCTATCACGTTGTTCAGTAATTTTTTTTATCGCTAACCGTGTGCCGTTGCACAGACGCGGTTGGTTGATATTTCGCAACATTATAACAACCGATCCAACCTTTATTTTAAGATTGGTGAGGTGGCAATCCTGGTAAATCCAGCGAGTTTAAAAATTCCGGTGGATAGTTGACTACATCATCTTGGTTAGTTGCCGAATCAACTGATTTATATATCTTCGATTCACCTGAAATTTGTTCTTGAATTTTTAAATTTAATTCATTTACATCTAAGTTTTTTGCAGCCAATATAGCTCGTTCGCTCAACCAATCATGGTTTCTGTAATTGCGAGCAATATCTGGATACACCTTTTGAATAAGTTCATCTTTTGATCGAGTTAACTGACAAAAACTTCGAGGAAAGTTAATGCAGCCGGTCAACATGTTTACATGCAATTTGCCATTACCAATGTCTATGAGTTGTTTAGATAATATGTTTCCAGATTGATCGTTTTGCAACTCGACACGCATATTCTTGCTTAAATGAAGTATTTTGACATGTTTCCACAAATTGGATGATTTTAGGCATGCATTAAGTTCATCAGCTGGCGTTGATCGTGGAATCACTGGCAATGTTTGCCGAAAATCTCCTGCTAATAAAATCATTGCACCGCCAAATAGGTTATGATTGCCCCGTATATCTTTTAAGGTTCTGTCTAAAGCCTCCAACTATTTTTTATGTTTCATCGTGCATTCATCCCAAACAATCAATTGACATTCCTGCAAAACTTTTGCCATTGCAGATTTCTTCGAAATGTTGCAGCTTTGAAATTCATTGCTTTGCATATTTAATGGCAATTTTAGTGCTGAATGGGCTGTTCGACCACCTTCAAGCAAAGTTGCTGCGATTCCCGAGGAAGCGAGTGCAAGTGCAATTTTATTTTGTGAACGAATTGTTGCTAATATTAATGAAATCAAAAAAGTTTTTCCTGTACCACTAGGTGCATCCAAGAAATATATCCCTCCAGTATCATCATTTGTAACTTTCATAAGAGTATCAAATACATACTTCTGTTGTTCATTCAACAGTGGAAGATTTTTTTGAATTAATTCTTTCAAAGTGTTGAGATCATACGTTTTTTCTCGGTGCACCTCTTTGTTAAAAACATCATGCATTGGACGATTGGGCGCGATCAGGCCTAATTGAATTAATAGTTTGTTTGACATCATCAAGCACATGTCCTCAATTGAAATCAATGCTTCGTTAAAAATTTCTTCATTGATTTGTATATTTAGATTTCCCATTCTATTCTGTATTTGATACAAAATATCATCACACATATGATCCTTGTACTTGATCCACAAATCGATTGGCTTTAATGGGTAGCATGTACATATGATTATAGAAAACAATGTTCGTATTTGTTGAGCACTTGATGATATTACAGCATCATTTAGAGTTTGATCCCAATGATCGTCATTTTCTAGTCATTATCATTGCAAACGTTGACAGGTTTCTCTGTAGGATCCACACAATTCACCATCAATAGTTCGTAAATGTTGGAATGATGTTGGGCCACGTACATTGACTAATAGCAGTCGTAAATAAAAACATTCATCATTGCTGGGATGTACTGAATAAATTCGACCAATCACATCGGTGGAATATACATCTGGGTATTCTTGAATTGGTTTTCCTTGTTTCCGTCGTATACATTTCCTTGAGGATTTATTCCAAGTATAATATTTTGGCATTTCAGAATATAACAATGTTTTTGCAAAATCATCGTTTTGCCTTGTCTCAAAGAAACTGGTTAATGTAGTAGAAGGTGGCTGAGCTGCTCTTTGTACTGTGTTCTGTGGTGTAAAATACACTCTTTGTCCGGTTTCTAAATGCACAGCTAAATGAACAACTGAAGGGTGTCTCTCATGAATGGGAAAAGAAAATATTCGCCAAACTGCTTCATTACTACTAACATAGCGGCCCATTTGGTATTGGGTAACTTCATCATTGCAATTCTCTGCACCAATTCCAATCACAGCCATATCACTCCCTTTGGTTACATATTTGCAAATGTATTTAATAGATTTCACTGAATGGCAAGATTCAACGTTTATTTTATTTTATTTTTATTTTATTTTACAATACGGGATGAACCCTATAATACATGAAAATAGTAGTATAATAATAATAGAAATAATAGTTTGATTATGGAAACGAGGCTCAATTTAGAGTGAGAATGAAGGGTCAGTGTTGGCAATGCGCATAAGACGGATGATCGGTGAGTCAAGATAGTAGTTTGAGGAAGAGAAAGGAATATTAAATGGAACAGATGATCGTGTACGTCGGGAGGGAACATTAAATGAGACACGGGATAGTGATTCAGGACTGTCTATTTTAGAGGAAAGAAGATTAGAAAGAAATGTTAAGTTGGCTGAATGACGACGATCGGCGAGACTTTCTAAGGAAAAAAAAAGTTGGATTGGCGTGTAATCGTGAGGTGGGCAGAATATGTTTAATTTTAAAGTAGCATGACGGAGGAATTTTCTTTGAACCCTTTCTATCATGCTACGTGCAGAAGCGGTGGATGGGTCCCAGAGGATGGTACCATATTCAAGGATGGGACGGACTAAGGAACAGAAAAGAGTTTTTAGTGGTGTGATCAAGTTATGTCTGTGGAGATACGGTTTATGAAACCTAGCAGTTTAAGAGCCTTACAACAGATTAACTGAATGTGCATATTAGGGCACAGGTTCCGAGTAAGAGTGAATCCTAAATCTTTTATATAATTATTACAAGTTGTTAAGGGGGTATTGTTTACAGAGTAAGTTGTTTATATGTGCTTTGAACGTCTTTGATAAAATTGGTGAATATGGAACAATCCAACGATTATCTATTTCAATATCTTGTTGATTTAATTTGACAATAGTTGTTCTTCCATTGTCTACTCTTGATCGGCGACGATACAGTGGATAACCATCATTACCAGTAATTGTTTCTGATATTAACGTCCTTGGATATCGTTTTGAACATTTACCATCCATCATACACGGTGAATTTTGATTAAGAGTACCACATGGACCATGTATCATGTTTTTGATAACAACCTCATGCAATTCAGGATCTAATTGTACATTAGGTATTTCAGCTGATATCACTGCATCAACTCCATTTGGCCTTATCTTTTCAACCAACCAAATCAAAATGTGTGCATGTGGCAACCCTCGTTTCTGCCACTCCACAGAATACATCCAGCAGCGTGTCTCACCAAACACATAATGTTTCACGATGAAATCCATTAAAGATTTCAACTTTTGTCTAAAGACTCTGGCTGTAATCTCATGACGATCAATGGGTGATTGCCCAGGGAATAACTCCTGCTTGATTTCTATCCATTGCGGATTGCATGTAAATGTGATGAACAAATCTGCTGTACCATAATGACGAACATACGACATGGCATCTTGAGCATATTCGTGCATATGTCTAGGGCTTCCGATGTATGTTGCTGGAAGAATAATCATCCGACCAACATTCTGTGCATTTCCATCGGTATTAATCGCATCTCGAAGGTGAATATACTCTTCAGATCGGAGTTTGGTCTGATTCAACCTGATGAATGTTAATCTCTCCGTTTCAATTTTAACATACATGTCAACAACATATTTGTGATATAATCGCCGACATTTCAATATGTGATTTTCTTCATTTTCCCGAATCATTAGGCGGTATGAATAATAGTTCATTGAACTGACTTTTTTGTTTATTTCAGAACCTGTAAATATATTTTGTTTTTGTAACATTTAAATATAAAATTAATATTTTAATTACCTGTAATTGGATTTATCATTTTTATTGAGAAATCATAGCCATCTTCACCTTGCCAAAATATAATAGGATATTGTAGTGCATCATATGAGCGGTGTGTTTCATTTATACGTTGTAATCGATCATTCCGACGATGTAAAACAATATCACGGGATTCCAAGTTTTCTCCAACTACAACGACAGCAACTTCATCAATGGTTGGTGCATTAAAACGTCTTGTATGGTGTCAACCCGCAGGTGTTTTATCAGCTTTGATTACAATTTTGTAATTATCAGATGGCATCATATCCAGTGCAGTTTTAAACAATATAATCAATTGATTGTGTTCATGAAATAAAGTTTGTAATTGTTCTACAATATACCTCTTTACTAAATTGTTGTTTGCACAACGCATATCAATTTCTTGTGTTGAATTGCCCATAAAATAAATTTGTAAGAATTTTTAGTTGCTATCTGACACTGGTAATAGTGAACCTGATCTATGATATATTTGTCCTTGCATCTGTAAATTAAAAAAATATTATGTTTGTACCAAACACTATAAAATAAAATAAAATAAATAAGCAACTATGTTATATAAATTTATGGATTGTCAGTGTTCAAAGTTAAATAATATTTGTTCTTAAAAATTATATCTGTCTCCTAATTTGAATGACAAAATGATATTTAATATGATTATGTACCTCAATATGTAAAATTTAGTTGTAACAAAATTGAATAAATACAATTTAATGTACATTTCGAGACGAATCGAATAAAAAATTTAAAACCGATGAATATTTATATCATCAAATAATTATATTGTGTTTCAAAATAATTAAGGTGTCACTAAAACTGAATCTATAATATAAAAATGATCAACAAATAATTATGATTAACTGCTATAATACATACCTTGAAAGTTGGCATAAAACTTTCACGAACTACATTTGTTGCCCCAAGCCCCCAAATGAAGTCATTTGAAAGCAATTGTTATATTGTTGGATATTTGTCAAAAAGTGTATAGAATCTGTTCCTATTCCTGAAACCAATGAGTACAACGGCTCTGGTGGTGGATCCAATGGTATCAATTTCACTTTACCATTTGCGCAACACAAACCATTGGCCTCATTTTTGTATTTCAAAGCCTTACAATATGAGCGAACTGAGTTCATAGAACCAATAACAACACACTGGTAGTTACTGTAGTCAACTAAAAGCAGCTCGATTCAAGTTTGCGCGATTATTAGTTGAATTTCGCGTTCGCACTTCACGCGTTTGTGATATCCGAATTCTTTCATGTTCATTTCTGTCGTCACGTTCTTGTGGACTTTGGTTAGATCGGTAATTAGCTTGGTTGGTAGCATTTCGGGTTATTCTACCTAAATTGCTTCGTCGTATAGGAGGCATATCAAAATGAAATTATTATGTTTTTTTAATACAAATTTTTTTAAGGTCTTCCCAGTAATTTTTTTTTATATTTTATTCAAACAATTAAATTGAATAAATATTGTCTATAACATTTCCATGGCAACAAAAAAATATTATAATATTAATTTATTTTTTATATTTTAACGGTATCGGGTTCAAATCACAGACATCAATAAATATTTTTTGCACTTTTCTACTTATTCGGTAGACTTTTTAAAAATGTTCGTTCATAAAAACCTTCTCCTGGCAATTCAGAACAGTTAAAAAAAAATTCAGCCAAATCGGTCCAGGCGTTGTTGAGTTATGCGCTTACCAACACATTTTGCGATTCATTTTTATATATAAGATTAAATATATATAAATTACATACTATTATATAATGTGTTAAATATTTTAATAACATATTTTATTAAGTGAATTTGTTTTATATTGTACCTATTTTTAATTACTTATTTTAATTAAAAATGTTTAAAAATGATTTTTGTATCTAATTAAAATTAATTATATTATAGCTTATAATATAATATACAGGATGATTCTTTTATCAAACAACACTCATTATTTGAAAAAGTATTGACTTTTTTCAAATTTTTTTTTTTCAAAATTGTAGATTTATGCTGTTCTAGAATTGTATATTTTTTTATATTTTTCACCCTTATATTTAATAGGTAAACCACTATCAACTTTTGATTTTCAAATGGTAACCTATACTAAAAATTTCATAATTGAATAAAACTATTTTTTTCATTAATTATTACGTTCAAATTTTCATTTTTCGTTAATCCGTTGATGAGATATTGCTCCTCAAAGTTAGGTGGTTTTTGGAGATAGTTATAGTGTGTAAATGTTTTATACCTCGTCAGTAGATACCTATTCTATCAGGATTTTTATGTCCCGGGGCAAAATATATCACACTTTTCAAATCAGTTCATAAAGTACTTAGAGCCCCTAAATGTATTTTATTATGCCCATCTTTCAGGGAGTCATGAAGTTCACCCCACGAAGGTGATTGCGCCACTGGTCAGTGGTCGTAATAATTATTATCAATTATAAAGACCAGAAGTTACAAGTAATAAATTCGATATCGTTCGACCCAAGATATAGCGGTGATAATCTTTGTACCTGACAGCCGATAATACCTACATACAATAACAAACGATCATATTATTATTGGTCTGCTTCTGTTTGTAGCTTCGATCACAATTTAATCTCTATTCTATGCTACGACACACCATAGACTAACATACGGAAATACAGAATTATTTTAGTCCATAAAAGTTAATGTTGTCCATGGTTTATCATTATAACTGTCTATCATACAGAAAATACAGTGTTACCAACATGTGTATTTACAAAATAAATAGTAACAGTAACTTGCTGTTTATTTATGTCACAAATAAAATCCCGTTTTAGTTACTCTAGTAGACTGCCTGTACTACAGTTGCAACAACTGTTAACTGTTTTAAATCGCTGCTGTAGTATTGTACAGTAATTTATTGTCTGTAGTTGTCGGTTACTCGTTACTGACTATTATAATTTATAGCATGGTGCATACTGCATAAATATACAATATATGATATAATAACCATATTTAATAATGGACCATAATGGCATAATATTAATAAATTAACTTAATAGGTAACTTAATTTTTTTTTTATACATATAATATACATATAACTGTGTATAGCTTTGGTAGATTTAACTAATACAAAATAATGTGTTAATTATTATTATAGATTTAATATATCTATTTTATGCTGTTTACCTTTTGGATACTTTGAACATGTAAATGCCTATTAGGATTTAAGTTTTTTAGTGATAATTTTTTTTTTTTTTTTTTTAACTAATCAAATATCCTCTTCTCATATAAAATATCATTTGAGCATGTTTATTACAAATCTGGAAATACAATACTCTGAACTAATTTAATATTAAGTATAAACAACTCTTTTTTTGATTTTTGCAATTTCAATTTAATACATTTACAATTTCAAATCAAATATTAGTATAATATAAATAATTCACCATCATATAGCTTCAATAGTTGTAATATACTTTGTAGGACTTGGTCTTTTTGACCAATCACATGAATTTAATCAATAGGTATGTAGGTATTTAAATAACAATGACATACATCCAAATATACATATAGGGCACTGATCAACTTATATAATTATATTTTATGTAAAAAAAAAAAATATTTTCAATGTCGTGAATAGGGTTTGAGACCATTGGCGCAACTAGAGGGTGCAAGCGGGTCTTTAGCACCTCTTGTTTTTTTAGATTTAACTATCATTATTATAGTGAAATACCCCCAATTTAATGTTTTTAAAATATGAAATATTATAGCACCCCACGTTTTAAATTTTTTAATGTATATTTTCTACTTTAATATGATGCAAGTGATAACCACTAACAAAAACTAGGGAGAGAATAACCATTTTTTAGATTGCTTAATTTTGATTATTTAAATGTTTTTTTAAGCGTTTGATTTGATGATTTTAGGTTCTGTTTAGCCCTGAACCCTGTTCACGGCAAAATTCCTCACATATTATACTGATATTATTATGAACCATTAAACAAATTTACCTTAATAAGCCTAGGACTATGATAAACCTATTTCAAAATGATGATACAGTTTATTCTAAATGTTCGTTTTGCAGTTAATATGCAAAATATGAGTAAAGATAAAACGTGTATTCAAAAAATTAAAACAAACTTTTCAATCACCCCAGACTTAAAAAGCAAAATTTAAAAATGGTGTTATTAATATTCTAACTTGAATTTAGTACTAATTATTATTTGGTGACAACACCAATCATTGACAGAAATAATTTAGTATTTATCATTATGACATTATACAATGTAGCACAGTAGACTAGTGTTTTTGGATGTTTAGATTATTATATCTCTTTTGTTAAAGGGCTTGTCCGTAGAAAAAAAAAAATGTTAAAATAAAAAATAAAAAAAATTATTATTAATCACATAGCCAGCTAAAAATTCTTAATTTGATTTAAAACATAATCTACATATTAAACACAAAATAAATATCTATATCTATGTATATTATCTTTTAAGTTGTAATGATTGATGTTGTCACCTAATTTAAATTATTTATAAACTAGCATACAAATTATAAAGCTTTTAACATTAGCACAATTTTTAGTTTTCAATACATTATTTTTTTTTTTTTTCATTCCGAAAATCGGTTAAATGATTACTGATGTCCCTCTCCACTTATATTCCTCTTCAACTTCCAGTATGTTCCTATTCTGGTATCTTCAATCACTTGCTTCAGAAATGGAGTTCTAGGCCTTCCTTTTCCAGGTTTCCTCCTGATTACGTGTCCGATCCATGCTTTTCTTCTCAATCTTAGCGTACTCTGTATTGATTTTTGATTCTCCTGAATACCTCGAAATTTTTTTTTATCTTTTCTGTCTATTGAATTTTCAGCGTTTTCCAACATCATACTTTAAAAGCTTTTATTTTGGCTTTCTCAGTCTTCAGTAGTGTCCCAATCTCTGCTCCATATAGATCTACATTCCACACAAAGCCTTTTATAAGTGATTTTCTGCTGTCCCAACTTATTCTATTTGAGGTAAAAAGATTAATTTTTTTATAGTAGGCCTGTTTGGCATGCGCTATTCTACATACTGTATATGTACGACTTTTCTCATCGCTTGTGATTGAATAGGTATGTGAAGTTTAAGTGTTCTTTAAGCGTGTCGTTCATTTCTTCGAACATGTTAGTTATGTCTTTTTCACTTTCTGCAATTACAACAACATCATCTTTTCAATACATATCATTGGTAATATGTAGTTATAGTCCAACTAGATTTTTTCTACTTCTTCCCAATAATCCTGATTATTTAAAATATTTGTATGTCAATATAATAATTTAATAATATTACAGTTAAAGATATTAATACTCACTTAATTTATTTTATAGTCTGTTGAAATATTTAAAATATTTAATATTGAATATGTATAATATTGATTTTCCTGATTTACATATTTCATTGTGAAATCTACTATCAGACAACATTTTAAAGACCCAGTTTGTGCTTCAAATCATCGGTCTTAATAGACTATCAATATGCCACATTTAAATGTGCAAGTAAAATACAAAAAAAACTCTCAGAAACATCTTAGATGGTTGTAACTATAATTACCATAGTAATATTCCATTTTATATTTACTAAGTACCAGTGTTTCATTGGTTAGGTAGACATTTGAACAAAAATTGTATATGTATAAATGATTGAACGGAAATCAAAATGTTTTAAGTTAATGAGATATATTGATTTTATTAATTTTAATTTTTGAAACTACCAACTAGTAAAACTTACCAATAGGTACATTGTATAAATTGAATTGCAAATTATCCAATTCACGTGCGATTAACCAATTTAGGTACTTAAATGTTTGATTAAATTACTAAATAAAATACAAAAAGTGGTAAATATTATAATTTAAGTATATATATACAAGAACTAATTAATATTATAAATTCACCATTAAAATTTAAACACTTAAAATTGTTAAGTATTAACAAATAAAAAACTTTATTAAATATTAGGTAATACCTACTTATTACCGACTCACGATTCAAATATTGTTGTTATGACTTATCAATTATCTTATAAAATTATAACCTAAATTATAACCGTTTATTCACTCAACGTATTGTTGGTATGTGATTAACGTTAACCAGGTATAAGGTTTACTTCCATATCATGTAACCATGGAACCAGACTTTAATCGTCCACAGCGAACGAAACAAATAACAGCTGACAGTGGCGCACCCAAGGGGGGGGGGCTTTGGGGCTTAAGACCCCCCCAAAAAATATTTTTTCATTAAATTACACATTATTATAGAAAATATAGTATAACAATGATAAATGATAATGTTTTATTTTAAAATTTTGTTATTATGTTAGATACACATATAATATATACATAATAGTTCAATACTACGCGATAAGGTTTGTGACAATCAATATACTCTACGGTGGCTATCGTCGATTTTTATTTCGTTGAAAATTATTTTTAGATTTATAGATACAATAACGATTACGTACGGTCGACTTTGATTGTTAACTACGATAACAATGATAATTATGACTTTCGACTGTCTGTGGCATGAAAATCTCGTTTAGATAATTCAGTCTGTTCGATTTTTTACAAAATTGGTTATTTAAAAATTAGTTTTAATTGTTTACTTGTGTGTAAGGGAAAAAGAAAAATTATTAAGCCCCCCCCCAAGCAAAAATTCTGGGTGCGCTCCTGACAGCTGATCAAAATTAGTTTTACCCACGATTTCACATAATCGCAAATCAGCCTAATAAACCATATCGTAGTACCCGTATTGTTCTGTCTTCTTATCCGTAGGCCGTTACGGCGTACTCCATAGGTATGGAGGGTGGTCGAGGGTTTTACGGGGGTTTTACGACGTGAGTAGGTATGCCACCACGAGTGACATTTTGGTCGGCCGCCGTATGCATTCTCTCGTGGCGCGGAGTATAGTTCAAAATCACTCTATCACATTCATGAAGCTCACGCTAACTTCATAATAAGTAGTTAAAGCTCCTAAATGTCACCGATTATATCCATCGTGAGTGTCACATTGATTTTAGTCGTAATTTATTGCCGATTTGATCACTAACAACATTTTACATAGAGTGCGCGCCCGAGCCCGCACTCTCCGACATCGAAACAAAAACGAAGATAATAAAGAAATCCAACATCAAATCTCTTCACCGACTTCAACTATTACTGTATCGAGGGCTGAACTTGTTAAAGTTTGCAGCCGCCCATGTACCAGCGATAATATAAACTATCCAAATGCAAGTTTAACACCGTACACGGAAACGCCATGCTGCCTCTCTTATCAATATCAAGACATACAGATATACAGGCCGTGGGCACCGTTATAATCACCTCGGATCTCGAATCTCGTATCAAGTATTAACTTATACCTATTAACCGTTACACCGAAACGTTAACTCTTCTTCTTGTGCAAGTATTAATTTAAAAAACCGTCGTTCCGTTCGTTTTACCCTCCTCTTATTCAATGTGTGTAGTAATACGTATATCGTATTGACAAGCTGCACACACTTAAATAATAGGAGTGGCTCGTGACCGTAGTAGTAATAGATTTGTGGTATCTAGTAATACGTATATCGTATTGACAAGCTAGGTACCACATCTCTCGGGAATCACTACCCTAGTCCTCGCCGCCCGCACTTCGTACCATCGCCGCCCGGACTTCGCGTTGTTGCCGCCGCCGTCACGTGTGCGCCGCTGCGACCGATCGACGCCGAAAACTGCGCGCCATCCTCTGCCACTGTCAGCGGAATGCGCCACAGTCGGACTATCCATATAGAACAGACCCGTGTACCTAGGACGAGTTCCATTCACCGCCTGGTATTACAGTTCATTGAACCCGTATTGTCCTGATTCAGTTCAAGCCACCAGTTGTTGGATACAATAATCAGAATTCACGTGAGTCTTGGTATTATTCACCAATCACATAAATAATTAACATAACTGTAGCTCGAAGTTTTCAAGACAATCTTGATTCGTTCTATTAGTATATAGCACTAAATCTCTAGGATGTTCTTTTTGTAAATTTTGAAAAAGTCTTAATAAACCTGCTATTGATACTAACCATCCATTAATGAATTTTATGTTAAAACTTTTATTAATAATTACCCATTCATTTTTAACTGTGTTATAACGTTTAACAGTTAAACACTTAAAATATTCAAACATTGATTTTAGGAATTTTACTTGAAAATCAGCACCAGTAAAAGGTAGACAAAAACATTTGGAATTGGATGGTTCTTCTTCAATATTTATTTCAGTTGAATTTGATCGAGAATTGAATATATCAAAAAGATTATCCATGGAATTAATAAAATCAATTGTGTGAATAGCTTCAGCTGATAAGTCAACATACAAGTTTCCATTCCAGCAGCTACAGTTTTGCTAAATACTTGGGAAGCAAATTTAACTTTCATTTTCTGAAATGAATTTGGATTAAGATGAATGTCAGTAAATTTAGGTGCTAAACGAATATTTCGGGTCTTTTCTGCTGAATAGAACTTTTCTAAATGAACTTTTTCAGCAATTTTATTATTACATTCAAATTTATAGTCGAAAAAGTTATTTCTAGTTGCTTTAAGTAAATGAGGAGGATCAATCGGGAGCGCGTAAAAACCTGGAATGTTAAAATCTGGACTTTAAAATCTGGACCGTAGAAATCTGGACTGTAAAAATCTGGACAGTAGAAATCTGGAAATTAAAAATTTGAAATCCCTAAAAATCTGGACCGGACAAAACTGGACCGTAAAAATCTGGACAGTAGAAATCTAGACTGTAAAAATCTGGACAGTAGAAATCTGGAATTTTAAAATTTGTATTCCGTAGAAATCTGGACCGGACAAAACTGGACCGTAAAAATCTGGACAGCATAACTATATATTTTAAGGGGCATTCATAGGCCATACATATTATTCTAATACCATTTTGTAGGTCCCACAATGTGGGATACATTCGTAAACCTTTATAATAATTCTTAAAATGGAAAGATAAATGTGTAGTTCAAATATTAATTAATATTATGATACTATTTAAATAATAATATACAGTAACAAATCTTGTTCAACAAAATAAAAATATTACCAAAGTAAAAATTATAATGTAAGATTAAAAAGTTGGTGGGTTAGTGGATTAAGATAACTAATTGAGTTTCTGTAAAAAATAGTTTAAATAATTTAACATTATAGTTCTAAACAAATATAGTTTTACATTTTATAGATCTTTAGATCTTGTACAATGATCATGTTGAAATAAAAATAAAAAACATTTTAAATACCAAAAAAATATTTAAATACAAGTATTCAAACACTGTATATTCATATTATATTTTATGTGTTTCTGTGATTAAAGTGAATTTGTTTATTATTTTTTTTCATCAATGTAAGCATTGAACAAATACTCATTAGTCATTACACTATCGTCCATCGTACCTACTCAACTTGGAAAAATAAATATGTTCCAATAATTTTTTTCTAATTTATTAATTGACGTGGTAAACTGCATTTCTTTTACACTATTCAAAGGACGCCCTTCAAACGGTTGAATTTCAAATGGTTAAACGTCAAAATCTTAAACGTCAATTTATTGAACGATAAAATCTTGAAAATAAAATTGTGTCAATATCTTCAACGTCAAAATTTTGAACACAAAATGTTTTTGTTTATATTAAATTTGGCCTTTTTTACAATCCGACCAGAACCATATATAGGCCTAACTACTTAATACTTATACTTAGGTATACTTTGACCTTAATACCTTATAATTTTCCAAGAATATAATAAGTGGCAAGTAGCATAAACAGTTAGTTAGGTATACAGGTATCTTGATGGCTTGATGATCACGAGGGGGGAACCGTTCATCAACAATTATAGCATCATTGTTCTAATATGAAGTCAATAAATATCACCTCATATTATTTTTATACAGTCTTACTTTTCAAATATATTCAGAATATTATGTATTTAAATACTTGGTGTAATTTGTATGTATGTGGTACCCATGGTTACACTACTCGACTTACTTATTAAGCTTCTGTTTATAAATTATATGTTGGACAAATGTTAATAAAATACATACAAAACCACACACTTAATGCTATAGAAAAAATAGATAGAAGAACTGGAAAATACATTAAACCACAATATACACTGCTAACAAGTTCTAGAAACTACCCTGTTTATATGGGGAAAACTATTTTTAACGACTTAAAAAACGAAGTAGATACAAGCTCAGTTGGTATTGTAACTAATAACTAAGTAACTGTAATTTGATTTGGCTGAATAAAGAATAATAATAACTCAGTGTTACAAAAAGAATGAGTGGAGGGTTAAATTAACAGTTTATTTATATACCTAACTATATATTGTTTATTAAATAGTAATATAATTTGTATGCGTGTATCCAAACAGACTGTATTTACGACATGTGTATAATAGCCTTTTAGGTATACCTACCTATAATATTAATTACCGAAGAAAAATATATACACATGTATGTACAGCACAGACAAAATAGTCTGTAAATAGTTTTATAGTTTTTCATATAGTCGTGGGTACAATTTGAAAACTGCTGTAATATAGATACAATTTTAAAAAAAATACTTGTATTTGTATTTAAATGCCGATCCGTATTCCAGCCGAAAAATAATTGATTGGACAAGTATATTAGCAAAACCGTATTTTAGCCGACAAATAAGACAGCCGACCTCAAGTTGGTCACAGGGTAACCACTGTACAACCACTCCTATCGGTCCTTATCATTTTTCGGACAAGTGCTTATCACTCACCACTGGCTATGATTATTGGTTAAATAGGTCAAAAATAATTTATTACAATGGGCAAGGCCCCCCGTGTCGCAGTGGGAAGACTTACTGCTGCTGGCTTCATGGACCAGGGCCCAGGGGTACGACACGCTCACTCGGTGAAAAAAATTAATCCTTACAATTGTGTACCCTCTTCTTCTTTTACATACGTAGAAGACACCCGTCTTCTCAAGCGTATACCAGGCAGTTCTTATCACCGGTCATCATTGATTTGGATGATAAAAGAAGGACCCCAACGTCTTCCCCCGATGCGTTAATTTTTCTTAATTTTTACCCATCAACCATTAGGCTTAAAATTTGCATATAGAGTAATACAACATACAGTAAAACCTCCTTATAACGGAATCGCTCGGTACCAACTGATATTTCCATTGTAAAGGAGTTTCCTTTTTAGGAGACTAAAATATACGAGATATAGATTATTTAGGACTATTGTTATTTTGAATTTTCCGTTATAAGGAGGTTTTACTGCACTACTACTACTACGTCAATATAAGTATATTAATATTATATAGTAGAAATATGTCTTTATAGTTAACTTGGCTAAGGACAAGCTTTTAATGTAGGCAAACAGGGTTGGTCCCAACGTGCCCACATTAAGCGGAATCCACTGTACATAATAATTAATAATATTATTTAAATTTGTTTTGCTAAACATATTTGTTTTTAACTAATAGTCTCAAGAGCAATAAATAAATACTATATAGGTAATTAATAAAAAATTATAATATAGTTAATAACCAGGGTAACAGACAATGCTTGTTTAGTAATTATTAAGTAAAACAAAAAATAACTATTGCCAAATGCGAATGATACTATTGCATTGTCCATTACAAATGGGACAACGATCATTAACTAGCTGGTTTGCACAATATTCACATAGCACTTTATGACCACATGGTACAGGTGCATGTGTTCTAGTACCATCTCTGCAGACAACACAAATTGTTTCTTCATCTTGTAGATTTACTTGCAGATTATGATTGACTTGGACATAAGGAATATCATCAAGGTTTTCTTCATTGCCATAATTCTCCTGCCATCTTACCAACTCAAAATCTTCCGGAATCCAAAAATCCCTTTCATCCCCTAGTATAGAGTATAAATACTATATAAGGTACAAGTATCAAAAATACAGGAAATAATTTTTTCAGGTAGCTTACAGTCGTTAACATTTTCTGGCTCAAGGTTTCCATTGTCTACATTAATTACATCTACATTATCTTCATTTTCCTCTATTACATCTAAGTTAAAAACATACATTAATTTATTGAAAATATTGATTTCAATAACATTTAGGTACTCTAAAAAGTTAATAGTTTAAGCATCACATCTATAGTAATTATTGTTAATAATATATTAATTTATTACTACTATATTAATCTCACGGTATTATTACTTATTTAGATCATTTTATTTTACCTCTTTCAATAGGAATTTCTACAATATTATGCACTTCATCATAATTTTGTTCATTATCATTTTGCATTTCATCATTTTGTTCATTATCATTTTGCACTTCATCATCATTTTGCATTTCATTATCATTTTGCACTTCATCATAATTTTGCATTTCATCATCATTTTCTTCATCATCATTATTCTCTTCAACTATTATTTCATCTGAAACATTATAGTATAATATATGAAATTAGTTTATTGATTGGTAGACAAAGTAAAATCAGATTTTGTAAGCCACTCGTCTTAGATAAATGTTTTTCAAATTAAGTTTTTTAAAAACCAAACTAACAAATTTGCTATTTTTATATTTTAAATTTGTTATTTTCAGTATTAAAAAATAAATGTCATACTATGCGTCATGTTGTGCATGAGTGATTGTGCAATGTGGGGGCATTTTTCTCAAATTTTAGATTTTAAAGAAGTTTTGTAAATTCAAAAAATTAATTTTATTATTAATGGGGTTTTTTTTTGTGATAAAATTTATAATAATTTTATAAATTTGTGGTGTATTATTAAGATTAATTACCGTTTGCCTGTTATCCATTTATAAAACAAGGGTTATGCTTTCACACACATACCTCGATCATACACGCTTAACGAGCTTAACATTTATCGAGTATTATTATTATTTTTAAATGACATTTTTTCACATATTTAAGTAGATTTTTAGCTCGATTTTTAGGTAGTTTTCTAAATTTATTTTCTCGGGTTCTTAGGGCATTTTTGCATATTTTTTTAAGTTATCAACATCATATATGTAGTTATAACTGTAGCCTACTCGGTTTTTTCCCGCGCTAAACAGTTTTTGGTATGTTTTACATTTGTAAGACGGAGACAACACATGCGGGTATAGCATTCTCTTAATTACATGATCATTCTAGGGTTGAATTAATTTTGAATTTACTATTACCTATTATGTTGGGTTGTTCTTCATGAGGTGGGTCTTCACCGCCTTCATTCTCAACCAACTCATTTAATGTCAACAAACGCATCCGTTCTTCGTATGTTTCAACAGTATAAGAACAGCGCAACAGAAATGTCAGGATATTTATTGAACCTTGACGCAGTTGGCGACTTGCTGATTTTATCTTTTTGTCATTAGCTAAATATTTAGATCGAGAGCAACGTGATATTACCAATCCGTTGCCTATTTGTTCAAGCTTGATCAAATAATTGTCATTTATTTTGCATAAATTAGCTATAAAAACAATTTTTAAAAATACTGATTAATAATTAATACCTACTAATTATTTATTGTGGTTTACTTTACCGATAAATGACCAAATATTAGGATGGGAAACTTGAAAAATTTGTCTTAGTTTGCTGTGAAAGCTTTCGATATTGTTGTTAGTTCTAAATTTTTTTTTGTGCACAGAAAGTAAGTCAACTCCAACATTTTGTATCCAATATCTGCTCCAAAATTAATTTTATTAGTTCTACAATATATTGTTATATATAATATAATTAAAACTTATTGTAAATATACCTTTCATAATAGTTGAAGAGACGTCGCACGTTTATGCTATTTCTCGCTGCATAACGTTTTACTTCAACAAAGCCTTCTTCAATTTTCCTAGCAGGCAAAAGTGGAAGAACCATAATCATTTTCAAAACTTTTGATGCATAACCATTGGTGTTTACTAAATTTAAATATCCTAATTTACGCATTTTTCGCCACACAGCCTAAAATTTAAATTTTAAGTTATTAACTTACATAGTATCAGAGTAAGAGTATAAATATCATGAGTATTAGTACATACTTGGTTACTATGAAACCAGCATCCATGGGCTGTAGCTGATGGGAAATGCCTAATCAACATTTCTCTTAATGCGGTTTCAAAGTCGGTTAATATAATCGTAGGCCTAAACTCAGGCAGTAAATTTACTTTTATAAAGTTTAGTACTGTATCATAAGCCTGGGAAGTCTTGCGTTCCATTAAGGCATATACTATAGGAATACTCTAAAATATAAAAATTAATAAATTATAATATTGATAACTAGTCTTATAGAATTTAACAATATTATAACACCATTATTAAAATCTTATTTGAATGGCTTGGAGCAAAAATAATGTTTGTTCTCTAATTAGTTGATTTATAATATTATTAAATGTTTTGATAATATAATTTATGATTTTGGTTAATTTAATATTATAATTTTGCATATTTAGAATTATTATTATAACTTACATGGTTATTTACCATCACATGCATTATGAGTAATTGGTAAGACTTAGGAGTTGACGGAATGACCCGAAATGTAGCATCAACATGCATTTCCGTTACTTCCATTTCTAGAGCCTTCAGTATTAAACTTTTAGAAGCAAAAACTATTGAATTATTCCCAGATGTATCTTCTACACAACCTAGAGAACAAAATATTATTTGAATGAAATCAACAGTTGATTGCGTAGTATTTACAATATCTCTTGCTGCCCAAAGTATAGATAAACTGTCTATGTTTAACAATTTACATTAAAATCACAATAAATACCTTTATATATAACTTCACCACAACTTTGGTATCTTTCAAGAAGCCCATATTGAAATTGATCAGCTAGCTCTCTTAATGTTCCCGGCACAGTTGGCAACGAACGTCTCCTACTCCACCTCATATAACTTTCAGCTGATTTCCATGTATATTTGGTAGCAGATTCTGGGTTTCTAAGTGGTAAAGTGGGAATGTGTGATATTTTAAACGTGCAGTGGCGCCCAAGATATATTTTTCAGGTGTAGCAAGAAAACATTTTACCCACCCACCTACCCCCTTAAAACTCAAAATTATATTATTTAATATATTTTATCATATTTGTATTGATAATATTAGTAAATATTAAGGTATCAACCAGTAAAATATGTGATAAATTATGAACATATTTCAAGTTTATTATTTTTTGTTATTATATCCATCCACCCCATATTTTCAAGGTGTAGCGACCGCTACACTTAGAAATAGGGTTGGGCGCCACTGTAAACGTGTTCACCCCACCATGCGTAGAATTAAAATAGTTTTCTTGTTCAATAAAAGCACTAAAAACACTACATTTTTATGAAATAAATATTTTTTGTCATGGTGATATTTTTAGATTTTTTTAAATATAACCACTACAACTAAATATTATGAGAAAAAATATACTCTTTCAAAATATTAAATTTGTATAAATCATTTTTTATCCTTAAAAACGTAGAATTATTTGTGATTTACATATTATATAAAATAAATTACAAATTTGAACATATGGTATTCAGAGTTAAACATGAGATAAGTATGTAACTGAATAACTGTTTATACATTACTAATTTACAAAATAAATTAGGTACCTTTATGCATTAGACATTATACATAAAATTATATAATATGGAACACTCAAATCTACCTATATGGAGACATCAGTCACCCCCACCCCCCGAATATTTTTTCAACTTTAGAACTTTAGTCCAGCCTGACAGTGTACAATAGTTTAAAAGTGCTTTGCAACGATAAGGTTAATAGGATGTCGGAGCACTATTTGTTTTCTCTCTCTGGCTAACATAGCAAAACGCATCTATTCAGAATCATGTTTTATAACTTATGAGTAAAATCATATATTACAAAAATTATAGAGGATAACATTTTTGAGGGTTTAACATAATATCTGATTTCTATTTTATTACCTATTGTTTGCCAAAGTATTTGCTTTTCAAAATAAATATAAAAATGTATAAATTGTTTTGAGACAATATTTAGACTAATCGATATGTCATACCCTCAAAAATATTATTCTCTATAATTTTTGTAAAACATCAAAAAAATTATTCTGCGTAAATGCGTTTTGCTATGTTGCGCGTGTGCCAGAGAGAGAAATGTGCTGACATCCTCTGAAGCAAAAAATATAAATTGATCTTACCGCCTGGCTTCATCCTCATAAATGGCGTTCAATGAAGTTACTTCATTAATACTGCGTTGTTTCAAACTTTTCTTGAAATTATTCATGGCTTTAATACTTGGATCAGGTGCATGATTGTGGTTTCTTACCAAATGTACATTATTGTCAGCTGTGATTTTCATGGAACCACGACACATGTACGTTGCTGCTTCTTTGCATTTGTAATAACTGTTAAAGTAAATAAAAAAACATAAGAAATAACAAACTGTGCATTGATGAAACTCTATGGTGTTTATAGGTAGATAGGTGTATCTTAACAAAATACTTTAAACTTACATTATGTTGTTTCTTTTTGAACCATTTTTAACATAAAAATAATTTTCATACTCCATGATGGTAAAAGTCAAGACACAGTAAACAAATTGTTGTAGAATAAGCACAGCTCGGTAACAACGAAGAAGCGGTAATGGTCGATAGTCGATACTCGATATATTATGCCAATGGACGGGGATCGTTGTAAAATAAACACGATAGCCATTACTCAGAATATCTCTCCACAGACCGCAGTTGGGTTTTTTCCACTGCATCTTTATAAATATGTTCTATTATTAAAACTGATAGTGATAACGAGGGCGTCGAGTCCATCATAGACATATTTATATATATATATATATATATGTCTATGGTCGAGTCCGGTCGGTCGGTTTAATATATTGTATAATTATGTCGATAAAATGTAATTCCACATCGATACCGAAAACATTAAAAATTAACCATGCTATCGAATATTCGATATTGTTCGCCAACACTAATTATTATTATTGTTTTATCACGCGTTTATACGGACGGTGAACATAAATACTTTTTCTTTTAGTCAAGAAACGGTGTAGGGGGTTTATACTAAATAACCCGCCATGGGACTGTGAGCTCTTCACTTTTTGTGCAACCCCAATCATATAAGTTGTGTCTATGCACGGCCGCACGGCTGAGTCTTGAAGACCTTAAAGTCATCTATACAAATCGCTCTTCGTATGCAATGATTTAGCCTGCATTATTAGCCATTAGGTATCATTGATTATTACTCGCTTGCCCACCTTTTGCTATGTAGGTGTATTACCAAGAAATAACCAATTACACAGTGGCGGCGGCAAGACATATTTCCCAGGTGTACCAAGACATGGTTTTACCCACCCACCAAAAGTTATTAAATTACTAAATTGATACTATTCACTTAATATGAAGTAGGTACTTATAATAATTTAATCAGGTATGGACACCCCCTACAAAATCTTTAAAGGTGTAGCGGTGTCTACACCTTGTATATGGGCCGGGTGCCACTGCAGTTTCATAATATTAGGTATATTTCAAATAGTAGTCAAGTAAAAAAAAATCGCAATACCTACCAGAGGACCTTAGTCGAGGGTCATGTATCGCATAATTAATTAGTTAACGCTTTGCACGCGATAGCAGTAAACTATGTTAAGACTTAAGAACCGTCATTTAATATAATCTATATTTGTAATATCTAGATATTACGATTTATTAATATTGATATCATCTTAAATCGCGTTTAGTGGTTTTAGCCGTTTTAGGGCTAGGTACTACACTTTTGCTTATCAGATCCTACTTAGATTTAAAGTCGAAAAACACTAGTTAATATTAAATATAAAGTAGTTAATATTTATAGCCTTTATTAATAATCCTTCATGTACCTATGAACATATCTATTACTTACTTTTGTTTACTTTCGTTTACTCATATTAGACGTTTGCTTTTTAAATCTAAAGCATTCAAATATATTTTTAATGTAAATACTCTGAATAGATGGTTTATTATGAATTAGCACACGGATCGGCAACTATGCAGCCCTTATGTAAGCAATTTTATGTGCCCCACTAGTAAAACTTATATTTTGTAAAATAAAATACTTTATCATTGGCGTACTAACGATTTTAGTACTGTGGGTCTACCGACTGCCTCACTTATGAGTAATTATACCTATGTATTATGTATTATGTATTAGGTACAAAGTCACTCTCTCCGCAACCGATTTACCTTATTTATATCACGTTTGCTACCAACATTCAATACAACTATATAAGACATGAGACTATAACTAATTTTTAAATTAAATTTAAAACTTACTTACAATATTTATTCTTTATAGGTATTTTTAATTAATTGTTATTTAAATATGTCACATTAAAATGTATACGCATTTAAAAAAGGTGCTCTGCTGTACAATAGGTTACAAGGGGGTCACTGTATAATGGATGGTATTAAATTTGAATTCAATGATATAATATCATTGTATAAGAAAAACGATTCTGAACGGAGACGGTATGTCAGTCTAGGTATAAGACATATTATATACTTATCTATGGTATTAAAAAAAAATTGACCTATAATAAATTCCAAATTAATCATATCACAATATCCATTAGGTACTTATAACTCGATATACATCAACAATAAACCGAGATACTATCATGGATATATGATGCGATATACTTTAGAAAGTTTCAAGTACCCACGAATAATATTGTACAATCACAACAAAAATACTAAAATAGTTATTTTAGGTTTTTAATATGTAATTTCGTTTAAATTTGAATTTAAAATGACTATTCAAATAAACTGTGCTTATGTATTTTTTAGTTTTTTTGGTAACAGAATTAACTACTTGAAATCTTGTTTTTAATTTTCAATCGTTAGATATAAAAGTTGAACATTTTATAAATTTTTAACTACAAAATAATTATGCAATTTTAAATTTGATAAATTTTGTCTAAATTCGATCTTTAAATGTTTATAAAAAAAATATTGTGCCTGTATTTTTAATATTTTTTAACTAATATTGTAAAAATATATCAGGGGGTCTTGTATTAAATGTTTACACTTTTTGGCCCAATAGATAAAACTGTATAGATAATTATAGAAAAAAAAAAATGGAAAATTAATATGTTCCTAAACAGTTCAAAACAAATCATAATATTTTGAAAATTTTATCGTGTATAGAAAATTCAAATATAAACAACTAGTGAAAATTTCATATATATACATTCATTTTTTTTTAAAGTTAAACCATAAACCAAAATCGATTTTTTGGAAAACCAATTTTGCGTAAAAATTCCCGTTTTTCTATAATTTTTATGTTGTTTTCCCGGCGCTTGTAAAAACTATTGGGAATTTTAAAATTTGACCTCCCGAACGCATCAACTAGATTCACTTTCCCATCGAACAAGATACTGTTGAAGAAAATCGAAGTAGTTTTACTTCCCCAAACCGTGATGACAGCCACATAAAAAAAAACACACATCATTGTAAAATCAATATATTCATCGTTCCACTCAGAATCTAAAATGTACTTGGAATATTAAAAAGGTGGGCAAGTGGGTGTCGCTCTGCTGTACAGTAGGTTACAAGTGGGTCACTGTATAATGGATGGTATTAAATTTGAATTCAATGATATAATATCATTGTATAAGAAAAACGATTCTGAGCGGTGATGGTATGTCAGTCTATGTATAAGACATATTATATACGTCATATCTATGGTATTAAACAAAAAATTGACCTATAATAGGTACCTATAATAAATTCCAAATTAATCATATCACAATATCCATTAGATACTTATAACGCGTTATACATCAACAAAAACCGTGATACTATCATAGATATATAATAGTACACTTTAGAAGTTTCAAGTCCCCACGAATAATATTATTCAATCACAACAAAATAACTAAAATCGTAATTCTTGATTTAAATATGAAATTTTGTTTAAATTTGAAATTAAAATGTCTGTAAAAATAAGTGTGTTTATATATTTTTTAGATTTTTTGGTTACAGTATGAATTATTTAAGAGAATCTTTGTTTTAAAATTTCAACTCTTAGTTATAAAAACTGAACATTTTATAATTTTTTAATTCCAACGATTGATAATTTTCGAGATTTTGATAAATTTTGTCAAAATTCCAACTTTAAATGCTTATAAAAAAAAATCGTGCCTATGTATTTTTAATATTTTTCAACTGATATTGTAACAATATATCAGGAGCCTTGTATTAAATTTTTACACTTTTTGGCCCAACAGATAAAACTTTATTGATATTTATAGAAAAAAAAACTAAAAAAAATTGAAATCTGTAAATGTCCATAAACAGCTCAAAAAGAGTCAAAATATTTTCAAAATTGCATGGTGTATAGAAAATGCTAATTTAAACATTCAGTGAAATTTTCATGTATCTACAGTTGTTCGTTTTTGAATTGCAACAAAATAAAGAAATCGCTACAAGAGTAATCGAGTGAATATCCAATGATGTAAAAATTTGAATTTCAAACTCTCATAAAAATTTAATTTGACTGTCCGGTAGAGATTTTTTTATTGATAAAGGTAGATAATCTTATAAGGAATCTTGTGTTTCATTTTCAAATCTTAGATTTAAAAAGAAAAATTTTTACGAATTCTTAACTCAAAATAATTTGCTAATTTTCGTGATTTTTCCATATTTTGTCAATTTTTGAACTTTAAATGCTTATAAAAAAAAATTGTGACTAAGGATTTTTAATATTTTTCATCTACCTTTGAAACAATATAGTAGGAGCCTTGTATTAAATTTTTAAGCTTTCGCAACCAACATCAAATTTTATTGATATTTTTAGAAAAAAAACTAAAAAAAGATGGAAAATGAAAATGTCCCTAAACAGTTCAAAATAAATCAAAATATTTTGAAAATGTTATCGTGTATAGAAAATGCAAATATAAACAACCAGTGAAAATTTCATGTATATACGTTCATTTGTTTTAGAGTTACACCAATAACCAAAATCGATTTTTTGGAAAACCAATTTTGCGTAAAAATTCCCGTTTTTCCTTAATTTTTATGTTGTTTTTCCCGGCGCTTGTGAAAACTACTGGGAAATTTATACTTTTGACCCCCCAAAGTACCAACTAGATTCACTTTCCTATCAAAAAAGCTACTGATGAAGAAAATCCAAGCACTTTTACTGTCCTAAAACGTGATGACAGACACAAAAAAAAAAAAAAAAATATAAAAATATAAAAACATACATCATTGTAAAACCAATACATTCATCGCTCCGCTCAGAATCTAAAATGTGTTTATACATAAATTATTTAGTTAATGTTTTAGAGGTACTAGCTGCTAAACGTAAATGGTATGAATCAAGAAATTTTATTAGATACAAATATAATTTGACCAGACCATAATTGGCATAGAATATACAGTGCATGATTAATAACTAGTTAGTTTATCATGTTACAGAGTAGGTACCTTATAGCACTAAATTTGGTAGGTATTTAGCTTATTTATATTTAGCTTTGAAAATAAAATAAGGTTAACTATACCTACATTCAAACTGTGA